AATAATTTATAAATAATGTAAAAAAAAAGTAACACATATGTACCTCAGTTAACCTTAATGATACAAAAATATTTTAAAAAAAGATTATAAAAACAACTTTTATTACTGATATTCACAAACAATCAATGTTTTTAAAGATATTACCAGTTATTTAATGTCAATCATTACTGCACGTAATAATTAAAAGCACGTAAAAATAATTTTTATTTGTATCAAAATAAGGGGACACGTCAACAAAAAAATCGATTTTTTTTCGATTTTCTGAAAGAATATTATTTCAAAAATATTTCTTCAATTTTTGGTAAAGAACCACGCATTATTTACGAAACTGTAGTAGTTTAGACGGAGCGCGCCGTAGCGCACCAAGTAAGTTGCCAAAACTTTAAACGTTAATTTCTCCTATTCGTGTTTTTAAAACGGTTACCCTCGCTGCGTCCAGACCATTTATCCGATCCTTACCAAATTTTGTACAGTAATACTAGATACACGTATCTAAGGAATGAACGAAAGGATTTTTCGAAAAAATGCCAATTTTTTTTTTTTCTTCAAAAACTCGGCGATTTTTCTGCAAAAATGTCAATTTTTTCTCAAAAAGTCGACTATTTTGAGAAAAATTAAAAAATCAAAATTTCCTTTCGTTCATTCCCTGCGCTAACATCTCTACTAAAGGATAACACTCAGTTTTTTTGTTTATGATGAACCAATTTTTGCCAGTGAGGGCAACCGAAAATGACCTTTTTTTTTTGGACTCTTAGAAAAGTGGCYACAGACAACACAATTTACAAAATTTTTACACAAAAAAAATTGTGAATATAGTTCAGATATATAACTTACATATACCAAAAATTTGTATTGATATTAATAAAACTGGCTGCAAAAAAAATTCACAAAAAACCGCCTTTTTTTACACTCGAAGGTGACGTGTCCCCATAAAACACATGTGTACTGTAAATAGAAATACGGAATAAAAGAGATATATCAAATATATCGAATAAATATCGATTAAGGGACCATCTCGGTGTAAAATTTTAAAAAAGTCGATTTTTTTTTTGGTCTCATCTTAAAGTACATATAGTCGTGCGTGTTCTGTAAAATTTTCAAATTTAAATTCGAATTATTACGGTCGTTACAACCTTTCTTGAAAAAAGAGATTAAAGCGTAAGTTGCAGCGCGCTAAACTTTAAACGCGTTTTTCTCAAAATGCCCTTTTTACAAACGGTGTTACCTCTCAGAGGGAGAGTTTTCAAGCTATCGACTTGAAATTTTTATGGAATTTTTTTTTACTTTATTCTTTATGTCCCTATGGAAGCTTTTTTTTTTTAATTCTTCCTATTTTTTCATACGAAAAACTGTTGAAAAACAGGGCTAAATTTCGTACTTTTTCTTTAGGCCGTCGCCATTTTGTCAAATTTCAAAAAAAAAAAAATATAAATAAAAACCTCCATAGGGACATAGCGGCTTCCCTACAGATTAATAATCAATTTGATTTTTTTCTTTTAGATGCAAACTGCGATCACAATCGTTGACACCGATTGCCCCCATCTGTTGTACTCACTTTTTAAAATAATTATTAACAATAAGTAAAAATAAATAAAAACGAATGAAAAAAATATTTTTGTATTGTTAAAGAGTGGTCTTATTCGAAAAAAAAACATCCCGATCCCCTCCTCCTATCCATCCGAAAAAAAAATCGCGAAAATTGACAATTTTTTTAGCCGGTTACACTGAGATGGTCCCTTAACTTCATTTTGTTAAATTGTTTTTTTCATATCGCTGTACGCGCGTATTTTTTCTCTAACGCGCCAAAAGAAGTATAATTTGAAAAAAAAATTATTCCAACAAATATATTGTAATTTAATAACTGGATAATATTATCAATCTAAGAAAAAAAATAACATTAAAATGTTTCACTTCAGTTTATTAAGTTGAAAAAGTTTATGATCAACAGAAAAATCGGAGACACCCTGTATATAAAATAAAAATAATAAACTTTCGGAGAAGTCTGTATAATATCACCGGAAGAAATTGAATATAGATTACAGAAAGATATCAAGGTATTCTTTTTAAACACTCATTGATTAATTTCCAATATATTTCTTTATCTTAAGCAGGTAACCTTATGAAACATAAGGAGTTGAGAATCTCTGTTATCGGATTGTGCTAGATAAGAGATAACGACACAACGGTAATGTCTTTACGACACGATTTGGATTCACTCAAATTCGAATATGGCGTCGGTGAGATCTCACGGATTAATTTTATTCTCATAAGAAATATAATTAAATATCCGTTTCTTAATTTTCTTTTTCTTACTCTCGCTCTTTTCTTACAATTTTAATTAAAACAACTAACGAATTATACAATATTATTTCTCAGTGAATGTGTTTTTTTATTTAACAATAAGTGTGCAATTAATTCCAAGGTCGGCGGGAAGTGTAATAATTATATCGATCACGGATGATTCATAATTATCGATAAAGTTGGTTGTTCAAGTGTGTTTTTTGCAAGAGTATTAATCAATTTATTAATTAAATACTTCGGTTTTCTTTTCTCTTTTTATTACCGGGCGAACGAAATGATCCCGCATTTATATTAATAATAAATTTTTTAATTAATTAATTCAATTTACTTATTTATTTCATTGACATATTTTTTGGAATACAAAAAATAATCGTATAGAATCGAATAGACGAATTTGTCTTTGAATCATTTTAATTGTACGCGTAATACAATTGAAATGTAAAAACGGATAGTGAAAAACAGTGAAACTCGTGTTTATATATATTTGTGAATGATAAATGTGATATTAATCGTAGGAAGAATGTCTTTCGTTAGTCTTCATAAAAAGGAAAAAGTGAGCGTTGTTAAAAGATGTCTTTCAACCAAACGACCAAGAGCGAAATCCTGTTTCGCTTCCATACATCCTGTACGTTTTATTTTATTTTATTTATTTATTTATTTATCTCTCTTTATATATACATATATACAAATATGTAATATAACATATGATAATAAAGAAAAATAATATAATAATAATTCAATAATAAATAATAAAGTAATAAATAATATAATATTATATTTATATATACATATACTATTTTTTAATTTATTATAATAACATTATTTTCATTACATTCTCCCCCTTTGCAAACATTTTCTCTAGAGCTCTGACAAACACACACGCACTCACACGTGCGCGTGTAATTTGGTATATTATCTATGTTAGGTTAAAAGTCACTAACCTAACATTTATACTATAATTCAAATTTTTGATAAGGAAGATTGAGTTCTTCTTTTTTTTTTTATATAAATGTTTTCAACCAATAAATGTTTTAAACAAAAAATAATTTTGTTTAAAAAAAAATAATTTTATATTAAAAAAAAAATAATTTTGTTAAAAAAAATAATCTTGTTAAAAAAAATAATCTTGTTAAAAAAAANTAAAAAAAATAATCTTGTTAAAAAAAATAATCTTGTTAAAAAAAATAATCTTGTTAAAAAAAAAAAAAATATAATTAGTGATTTTAGACTGAATTTGTGTAGACAAAAATTAGGAGTAAATAGATATTGTTTAAATTTGAATGGTATGGTAGTTTTGGGATTTATTTGTTCATATGTGTATGTATGCGTGTGTATAATTTTAAGATTTTTAAATTAGTGTTATGGAAATATAAATTAAATATATATTGAATAATCAAGAGTCTGGTTACGTTGAGTTGTTGATTTCCGTCCGATCATCTTAGTCAAGCAGGTGTTGGTCACGTTCAGTAAGTGGATGGGTGACCCTGCGCGTCGCGTTGTTGTTGTGTTGAGTTTCGATCTCTTTGTAATACTTAAAATATTAATACTCACACAGTGATGATAACTTAACAGTTTGCTTGAGATCCTTAACGATTGAACCTCCAATAGGGGGATCTCGTTAGAATCTATGAGTTTCTAGCATCTGAAGTCATAGTTACTCTGAGTGTGAATAAAAATTCGAAATAAAATTCTTTTAGTTTTATTTTTGGTATTAATATAATAAATATACTTATCTAATAATTATAATTATAATTTATTTTATAAATTGAATATCTTTTGTAGATTAAGGAAATTTATTGCTTAATATATAATTTTTTTTTCATTTGATTTTTATTCTTATCAATAAATAAGATAATTTTAGTATTTTAGTTACTCTAAGTGTTAATAAAAATTCGAAATATAAATATCTTTTAATTAACATTTTTGGTATTAATTTAATTTAAAATACGTTTCACGATAGTCATCCTTTTTTTTTTTTGAGGTTTTACGTAAACAATGAAAAATATACTTATAAATTTTTCCCACTTCTCGTTTTATATTTGTTCTTTTTTCTTTTTTGATTTTTTCTTTTTTTCCAATACTATTATGTATTAGATGAATACATCGATTTATGCAAAATATGTATACGTCAGTAAACATGTTAAAGAATTCTCTCAAACGCGTTTAGTATAGCCTCAAGCGAACATAATTTATAGTCGAGTGAGAATCTCGTTAAAGAAAATCGATCGTTCGTCGAAACGCGAATCTTTGCTCGTCTCTATGTCCATATATATACTAACTCGGTACTTTGAAATCGATACTATTTTTTTTTTTATTTATTTTTTTTTTTGCTAACGTTAATGTCCGTCAATCTATTTCGCAATCTATTCCCAATGGAAAAACTTTTTAACGAGGTGATATGAGTCAGAGAATTTCCGGTTTAATGGCAATTTACAATGATATGAGAGATAAATTTAAATTCATCATAATTATATATTGGAGTGTTAATAACTCATTCTATATAGTATTAATAATAATAATAATTATAATATTTATTTAATTATACGAGTTTTTAAATTGTCTGTTTATAAAGTTACTATATTGAACAAATTTAAATCTTTATATATAAAAATTCAGTGTCACATTGTTATTTTCCAATGAACTTCGAAACTACTGAACTGATCTTAATAAAATTGTTGTTTGTTTGAATTTGTTTTCAGGGCGATTACATCAGGCACCCAGTTCTTTACGAACTGTCGAGCAAGTACGGTGTTGCTGGCAGTGATCAGGTGCCCTTGCCGGCTCGTCTCGATGAGCTCCGGGAACACATACGCAGAGAAATACGTAAGGTATGTATGTATATATATAGGGTGTTCTGAACTTATAAGAACAACAGTACGATTGAACACTAACAGATTAATACAAGATTTGATATATCAGTAGTATACCTTAAAAATGTTCTTATAGTAAAATAATATGACATATTTTGAGTAAAAAAAAAAGCTTTTAACGTGTTAACTGCCGTGTGGGTCACCGGTGACTACAACTCGACAAGAACAAGAAAATGGGAATATTTATGACTGACATGTAAAAATCACGGGTTGAGTATGATTGGGGTCTATAATTTTAGAAAAAAAAGATTAGTTATAATTTTGGAAAGAAAGATTTTAGTAGAAAAGATTAGTTTTTGTAAAGTTACTTCCGTTAACCCACTCGTTCGAGTACGAGCCGTTACTTTAACGACGAGTAGCAAGCAAGCTTTTGCTATCGATTAGCTTAGCATCTCTTGAGAGACGTGTTGTTTCTTCTGTTAAAACACCGACTAAGAAAATAGAAGAAAATAACAGAAAATATATATATAAAAAAAAAAAAAGAAAAAAATGAAGAGAAATAAAATAGAAAGGAAAGGAATAAAGCGATACTAGAGAGTGTAATTTTACGTTCCATTTAGTTCACACTGGAGGAAGTTATTTAGTTGAAAGATGAAAGCGCATTCGAGCGAGTAATAGATCGATCATACTATACTCAAAGAGTTTGTTCGAATTTTTGAGTAAAAAGCTACCGTACGTTTCAGATCTATCGTGTTTCTTTTAATTATTATATATATTAAAGAGCAATATTAATAAATGTAAATGTATATGTTATACTATTAATTGGATCAGTATTTTAAATAAATTGTTGACATTATTTATTATAAAATATCACTTGGCAATCCTAATACAATTCTAATGTAATTTTGATGCAACTATAAGTAACTATTAGTGGGTTACTATTAATTGGATTAGTATTTTCAGTAAATTGTTAGCATTTATAATTTCACTTTACAATCCTAATGCAATCCTGATGTAATTCTGATGCAATTCTGATGTAATTCTAATGCAACTATAAGTTACTATTAATAGGTTATTATTCATTGAATCAATATTTTAAATAAATTGTTAAGATTATATATATATAATAAAGTATTACTTTGCAACTCTAATTCAATCCTAATGTAATTCTGATGCAACTATAAGTTACTATTAATAGATTATTATTAATGGAATCGGTATTTTAAGTAAATTGTTAGTATTATTTATAATAAAATATGACTTTGCAACCCTAATACAATTCTGATATAATTTTGATGCAACTCTACTAATATTATATAAATATCAACAAATTCTTATTCATTAGAACATTTAATGTAAAACGCCTGATTATTCATTGTCAGATTACTTTTACAATTAGTTCAAAATCGGATATTTCGTATTTATTGACCTAATACATTGAACATAATTTTTGTATTTTCCTATAATTTAATTTATATACAACTAATCAAAAATTATTATCATTATCCTCATGGTACTCGACGAATAGGGGTGATTCCTGTACAAGATTGTTTACCAAAATTACAACTCAATCAATTAAATAATCAAGAAAATAATATTCTATTATCAATAGAAATAAATTATTTTAAAAGAAACCAACAATATAATGGCACGAACTTTTTGTTTAGGAGTTAAAAATAAAAGCCGGAGCTGAGAAACTACGAGAGGTTGCTACCGATCGCAAGGCACTCTCGGATGTCGCGACGATCGTGAAAAAGGCCAATAGCAAGCTGAACGAGCTCCAAGCTGAGCTCCAGCAGCTCGAAAGTCAAATTATACTGACGCAGGGCCAGCCGCAGTCGCCGCAACAAAATCACTCCAACGGTCAAGGTAAGCCTTGCTTCTTCTTCAATCCACAGCCCTCACCCCCACCCCTTAAGTCTCCGCCAACCCCACTTCACTTTCTTAAATCCTCCCACCCCACTTTTTGAAGTCCCCGTATCCCCTACTCCACCTACTTAAGTCCCCCCCCCCATCCCCATCTCACCTATCTGTGTCTCTCTTTCGCTCTTTTTCTTTCCTTCTCGTGCATAACCAGAGAGATACCATCTTCGCTTTCGTTCTTTTACTGGTTCGAACCTTCGAACGCACGAACATCGACCGTGTCGTCGTTGTTGTCGTCGTCGTTGTTGCTTCGTGCCAGACCCAACAGCCTAAACGGGTTTTATATAACGCTACGCGTTAGACTCGATCGATCGACGATTATAATAATATTCTTCCATTGTTGATACGTCTTTCAACAAATATTTTTATTCATAATTTTTCACTGAACAATTACTTAGACATTATTATCATTATTATTATTAGTAATTAATTTTTTGGGGGGGGGGGGTTTGAAGTTATACTTCTTTTGGCGCTTTAGGGGAAAAATAATGAGTTGTTTCTAATCGAACTTCAAATAAAATTTTTTTCCTAATTTCTATTTATAGAATATGTTCTCACAATTAGGTCAATAAACCCTAAATCATTCCATATTGTATAATTCATTTATAAAATATATACAATATCAAAGTTATACTTATAGTATTAGGTCGAGTCGTAAATAACTTCCGTTTTTTATGAGACAAAGTATGGTGTTTCTGCAACTGATAAGTGCAAGACACCTTTCATGGAGTTTTTTTTTGCACTCTGTGCAATTGTTGAACGTATCTATTGGATTTTGCTCCAATATTACCTTTAAAAGATTCATCAAATTCGGAAATACGTCCTGCACTCGGTTCATCTTTTAAGATCGTATCTCCAGAACGGAATTTTACAAACCAATTTCTGACTGCCCTATCAGTTATCAGTCCTGCACTGTATCCGCTGCATATTTTTTCAGTTGCCACTTTAGTGCCATTACCTTGTTTCAATTCCTAGAGCATTACATGTCGAATATGCACTTTTTACTATCCATTTCAGTGTGTTAAGAAAAACAGTTAAATGTAACATTGATCACATAAAAAATTTGACAGAAGACTAACTGAATCCTCATCTATGTAGTGATATCGAAAATCCGTTTGTTTCGGTGACTTATAGTAGGTAAATACGAAAAATAGATTTTACATAGCCGCATCGGAAGTTACGTATGACTCGACCTAATATATTAATATATTCATTTATATTTGTTTATGATTATATTAGAACTTTATTATCAATAATTAATAATAATTATATTATATGATCAATTGCTATTTTCGTTCGTATGTAAATATCTTTTATCAGTAATACCATAAAGTATTATGAAGTTGTTTCGAAGACTCGTTTGAATTATTCGAAATACTTCCTCGACTTATGTTAGTGTAATCGAAAGTTAGTACAGACGCCGCTAGTAGGTACCGGTGTTGTTTCTACATTGAATAGATAGTTAAATCGAACGTCTGTTAAATAAATTTATCTGCACTGGCAATCGAATTTAAATAACTTTCGACGTGTGATCTAGCTCGGTGAATGTAAAACTACGAAATGAAGTTTCTTACACAGTTGCATAAGTGAAACGTAAAATCAAATGAAATAGTACGAATTGAAATAAACACACACACACACACAATCTTATATGAAACATATGCGCGCGTGTTCACACCTCCGCACCACCCACACATATACACACATCTGTTAGATAATAATAGTAATAATAATAATAATAATAATAATAATATATGCTAACAACTTAGATTATACGTGTATTTTTTCGGTTATTATTATAAAACTATTTAATTCGTTGCTAATGAAAAATTCTTATCTTATCTTAAATGGTAAATCGTTTAAAATACATTTCTGTAATAACAATTTAATCTTCTATTACAAACACGTACCTATACGTAACTTTTTATAAAATACGTTTTAAATATATTTAAAAACGTTTATTTCATTTTGTCGAAACAATGGTAATAGTTGCTTCGTATAAGAAGTTTTGTTAATAAGAAGAATGATTTGTAAGCATTTATTTCATTGCGATAAAATTATATTAATATATATTTATTATAATATCTTTCATTTATATAATATTAAATTTATATATAGTATATGCTATAAGGTATATTAAATATAATTTAATTATACTGTACTATTTTTACAATTATATTCATATTAAATAAACAAATATACTTAATAAAAATATTTTAAATTAAAATTTTCTAGAGAGATATTAAAAAATATATGATATAATATAATACAATAAAAATAAGAGAGTGAAAAATAATTCCTATTTTTATTTTAACTTTAAAGACAAAATTCTGATAAAGGTACCATTTACAATTACAAAATATAGTCAATAGATATAGTAATTATATATAATTATTACATATATTATACTATATGTAAGCTGTATACATATATAAATTATATATGTATAGCTTTATAGCTTTCGAACGAAATGTTTAAAAGTTTATGCTTGTATAACATTTGTTTTTATTTTTACTCATATAATATTCTGGTAAAACTGTACACAGATAAATATTTGAGCACCCTGTATATAATTACTATACAGTTACTAAATATAATTATATATATTCATTTACTAGATACAGTAATTAAATGTACTTATAGATATTATCATTAAATAACCAAATATTTAAGAGTAACTAGTAACTAGATGTTGTTACTAAATATATTTACTAGATATTGTTACCAAAAATATTAAAGATACATTGTTTAATCGGATTTAATTAGTGGCTTGTTCAAAGAAGATTTATTATAGTAAATCAAATGTATAAAGTATAAAGGCAAGTTTTTTTTGAATGTAAGAAGGAAGCATTTCGGTGAAAGAGAGTCCTCGGGATGAATCGTTATGGCTCGTTAACGGGGGGCGACACTTAATAATGGTTGGTCACTAACGAGGCGTCGAGACGACTTTGTCGCTTTATAAACTCCAACGGTGCGTGCCATTCGTCGACAAGAAAGATATCTCTTGTTTCGTACTGTCAGTTCGGTTAGCAAATCGAGCGTGTCCTTTGAGAATCAGAATGACACTGAAAGAGAATGAGAGAGAAGGATAAAACAAGAAAGATAAATTAATAGATAGATAGTGAAAGAGAAAGTGAGAGAGTAAGATAAAATGATAGATAGATTGATAGATACAAAAGGGAAAAATAAAACCCTGGAGTTAGAGAAAGAGAGTGGGATAAAACAAAAAAGATAAATTAATAGATAGATAGTGGGAGAGAGAGAATAAGATAAAATGATAGATTGATAGATACAAAAGAGAAAAAATAAAACCCTAGATAAATACGTTGAGTTAGAGAAAGAGAGAAAGAAGGTTAGAACAAAAAAGATAAATTAACAGATAAATAGTAAGAATGAGAGTAAGATAAAATGATATAATAGATAGATTGATAGATACAGAAAGAGACAAACAAAACTCTAGATAAATACGTTGAGTTAGAGAAAGAAAGAAGGGAAGGTTAGAACAAAAAAGATAAATTAATAGATAGATAGTGAGAGAGAGAGAGAGAGAGAGAAAGATAAAATGATAGATAGATTGATATATGTAGAAAGGGAAAAATTAAACCCTTGATAAATACGTTGAGTTAGAGAAATAGAGGGAGAAAGATTGATGGATTCATTTTATTCATTCATTTATAATATTTATTAATTGTCGTTGAATAATAATTTAATTATAAAAAGGATAAAAGAAATAATAAAATATATGTATTTATCTTTATTACGTAAAATCTATTAATTTACGAAATAATTAGCCAAACTTTAAAATGTACTAACCTAAAAATAATTATACTACCTAAGTAACTAAGATTACATACTTTAACTAGGTAATATAAGAATATACGAAAGGTTAATATAGTTATAAAGTATGAAATTGAAATTTGATTCGTAGATCAGATACGAAAGAATAACATGACTTATTGAACATTGGTTTTCAAAGTATGAGAGAAAATAAGAAGAAATAACTACGAGCATTATTGTAAAAAGAAAAGCAGATTTTAAAGATGAATCAAATTTCAAACTCATACTTAATCTCTCGCCTTTTCCTTATATATATATATATATATATAAATATAATAACAAAATAATAATATTAATAATAAAAAATTAAATAAAAATGAAAAAGAATAATATGGTAATAATAATACATAATATAAATAATAAGATAAATTTTTTAATTTTCTATAACTTAAATACCTTATTTATGATTGAAATAAATTTTGTCGATTTGATAATTAGAAAGAAGATTAGCAATATTTTAAATTAATTGATCAATAATTTATTGAATTATCATAGATGCTAATTCGAAAACTGGATTTTCTATAGAACACGATAGGTTTGACGCATACAAACTTTCAAGGGCTAATAAATTGTCAATTTTTTCTACATGATTAAATAATTTTTTCAAGAAAATTATAATAAAAATTAACAAATAATGTATAAAAAATTATCGATATTTTTAACCCGATAAAAAGAAATTTTCTTTCACATTAATTTACCGTATAGTTCACAAAATCGATGAATGAAAAAAATCGAAAAGATGTTATAACATTTATGGATAATAATCGTTTTTAGCATGTCGATCCTATTTTTAGATTTTACATGTGACGCTGTTCAATTTCATACAAAACGATTTTAGAAATATTCTTTATTTGCACCGTTTCGAATCAATACCGAGCGATTCTATAATTATTATTTTTCGATTCTATATCGGTTACAATTCGGTTTTGCATAAAGGACGGTTCAATTTGATTCGAAACAGTTCTAAAATTTATTATTTTTAGGTTATGTATTGATTATTGTTTGGTTGGGAAAAAGATGGCTTCTACAACTGTGTTATTTCACGATTCTGCATCGATTACGGTTCTGTTCGATACAAAACATCTTTTTGATTCTTTATTGGTTACCGATTAGTGTTCGATATTATATATAATATAAATATAATAAATAATTCAATAATTATTATTTTTCGGTTTCGTATTGTTTGAGATTCGATTCGATTCCGAACGATTTTATAATTGTTATTTAATGGTTATGGTTGTCTTATATCGATTATCGATCGATTTGATATGAAATACTTCTATTATTATTATTTATTTTTAGTTTCGTATTGTTTAAAATTTGATTTAATACCTAACGATTTTATAATTATTATTTTTCGGTTCTGTAGAGGTTATGGTTCGATATTGTATCGGTTACGAATCGGTTTGATACTACATCCTTCTGTAATAATTAGTTTTCGATTTTTTTTTATTAGCAGTTTGATTTTGTATTTACTACTGTTCAATTTGTTTCAGAAAACTTCTATAACTGTTATTTTTTTTTTTCTATTTTGTATCAATACAAAACAGTATTATAATCTTCTCTATCAATTTAATTGCAATTTTAAAAGATTAAAAATCGAAACAAATTTCAGTGAGAATATTTATATTCATAACAATTTTAAAAGAATATTTATAATTGTATATATGAATGATAAAAATAAATAAATGAAATAGCTTGAAATTGTTATTAGAAAATTGTTAATTAAGTTCTATTTGTAGTTTTAATTCTGAATAGAAACATTTATTATTATTTTTTATTTATTATTATTATTATTATTATTATTTATTATTTAGAAAAATATTCATAACGGTTATGACATTTTTGTCGATATTAATAACTGTCGAAGTCAGAATGAATAGACGATAATTGAAAATAGTTATTTTCGGAACAATTTTAACCTCACTTTTCAACTTTGCATCCGTCATTTCCGTTTTTCTCGTCATATCGACGTGAACTTGCCAATATGTTACTCGATGAATCGATGCACACACATTTGCTTCAACTTCATATTTCTCTTTCTTTCTATTTTCTTATTTTTAGACATGACTGCAAGCAGTTATTTATGTTTTTGATATAGCTAAAAGTGTAACGGGTGATTTATCTTATGAGAGTATTTGAAATATTTAAAAATTCTTTACAATTTTTCTATATTTTATATTTAAATCCTAAATTTATTATGTTTTCTTTTTCAATTGTCTACAAAATTGACTTTAATAGATTAACTTGATATTTTCTTTCTTTTTTTTTCTCGAATAATTGAAACGAAGTTTGAGAATCGTTTTCGAATTATTTTTATTTTCAAAGTTTGGTATTTTTAAAAATTCACAAATTTTTAGTAATGCGACAGTATAAATTTCAATTTATAATTAATAAAAATTTACAGGATATACTATTGGATTGTAATTAACAATTTATTTTTTGAATTTTTAACATAAACACAATTAACAAGTGCGTACGTGCGTGTGTGTGTGTGTGTGTGTGCGTGTGCGTGTGCGTAATCTAAAATTATTTAAGCTCGTTTTAGTCACGTTAACGTGAACCAACATCGGTGAAGTTTATTACGAAAAAGTGAAACACACAGAAATGTTGTTGGTTGGTCCATGGTCATTACCCTTTTACACTAATCCCCCCTTTACCCCTTTTTTCCCCTTTCGTCCCATTGTTAGTCGCAAGGCATAAATTAGTGATGATTAACACGATGTGCCACGTAATCAGGGGTCGTTGAGTGTTCATTGGTGCAGTTTAACAAAATGCGTTGGGGACCATTTTGTCATGAGGATTTCAACAATTTCATTTTTAATGTAGGTTTCAGTCTAATGTAAGTTAATTTCCTGATTTTCATCCTTTTCAGCTCATTTAGGTTTATTACATAGATTAGGGTCTACTATATATAATATTTTATCCTATTATAACGAAAAAAAATTACTTGAAATAATTATAAGCTATTTTATTAAAAACGTATTTTATTATTTTTAATAAAATAAAAACAAACTTAAGGTAATATTATTGTAATATTACAAAAAATTATAATATAAATATATTATAATGTAAATTATTTTTTTTTTCATTTTTTAAATATTACTTATTTAATAACAATAAATTGATAATTGGAAATATTATGAAATTGTTTAATTAATAATATTATAAGTTATATAAATTGTTTAATATATATATATATATATGTTAATATGTGTGTTCCTGTTTTTTCTTTTAAGGGTTCATTCTGGTTTATACGCCGAAAAAAAGGCTATTTTCACGATTTTTTTTAGGCTTTGTAGGATACATATACATATGAAAGTTGTTGGGTATGATAAATACACTCTAGAAGTACGAGAAAAAAATTTTTTTTATTGTTTTTAACATTTTTTGACATTCAAAATGGCTGACAAACGTGAACCCTTCAAAAGTAGGTATGCTGTTGGCGGGCATCGAAATTTGAGAACGGGTGATCTGAAAGAAAAAAATTAAACGGTTTCAAATTCAGTATGACAATGGCTATCGAGAATGCTAAAATTATCAATTTTTATGGAAACAAAACAAAATGACGGCCATTTTTCGAAAAATAAAAAAATCGTTGATTTTTTTCGCATTTTCTTGTAAAAGAAAAAATAGTAAAAATTAATATTTTTACTTGGTTATAGCATGCGAGATAGCCATTCTTGTTTAGAGTATGTGGTTAAAATTTCAAAAGGATCGGTTGAGTAGTTTCGGAGATATCATGCCCGCCAACCGAAAAAACGTTGTTTCGAGAAAAACGCGTTTAAAGTTTCTTTTAACAAATTTTTAAAAAGTCTGACTTTACCTTATTCTGGGATGCCTGCACCATACAGTATGCCTTCTGCTTCTTCAAAATACTCATTT